ATATCAACATTACTCGCTTATTCAATATTATTTTGGTATCCATATCGTAGATAGCGATTTTCTAATCATATCAAAACATGGAAAATTTCGATATTGAGGAATGATATCGAAAATATTGAAAATGCGTCAGATTATTGTCAAAATAAATATCTCGTTTGTGCTTTTACTTTGTGTTTAACGTTAGCTCTATAATGAAATAAAAACATTGCGAAATGCCAAGCAGCGATGCTTAAAGGGAAAATACAACATTTGCAAACATCAAAAAATAAAACTACCAAATCATTTTGAAATACCTTGCTGGACTGTTAGTGAATGACAGTGTAAAGCATCCTGTAAAATCATGGCACCTGGTATACTGTCATTTTCAAGAAAAGTGGTATTTTTGTATCAATTTCCAATGCTGATCGGCCGACCAGCGTTGGAAAAAACTGGCTTTTTTTTAAATACTGGCCCCAGTTGACCATCGCACTTGTTTGCAATCGATTACACACCTATGAAGGGGTACAAGCCAGCTAGACTGGTTCCCTGACCTTACCATTCCCCAATGTATATAAACTGCTCCGTTTCTTCTTAAATGGAGTCAGGGAACCAGACTACAGGAAAATGATTGTTTTTCTTGGTTTTTATAGCATTTTCGAACCCAAAACCTCAAAAAAGTCAGTGTAACTATATTTGCTATATATTTCCAACCCCCCAATTCCATCCATTTCTGAAAATTACAGCAAAAGCAAATGATGTATATTCCCTTTAATGCTCTGCGCTCGCTGGAATCCGCGGTCTCCCCTAATGTAAAACCTAAAAAGAAACCACCCACTCTGGACAAACTCTCAGTGCTGAGATTTGTGTAGAAAAGTTTGAGCAATATGTTTCAGAGAAAGCCTTGGAAAATTGGGACTTAGATTGTTGTTTTGATTTTTTTTTTTATCAAGTGTCATCTTTATGGTCTATAGCTTCATAGGATAATCAATACCGAATATTCTCGTTATTGGATTTCCGATACATCAATTATTGCGAATTCTGATATCGGCGGTGCTTAACGTGTAGTTGAATTTGCAAAACTTGAAACTACAACACCATAAAGCAGTATGAATTTGCGTATTATCGTGGGTAATGTTTAGGTATGTATTTTTTTCTTGGACATGATTCATTGTCTTAAGGAGTCCTTTGTTTTTTTAAAGGGTGGCTCAGTTTTAAGAAAATACCCACTGAGTGACAGAGGACGGGCGTGTATATCCTGTAAGTGTCCTAACTAAATATTGTTTTTTTTGTACATGGACAGTACACTGTGTGCCATTCATTGCCAAAGCCTTTATCTTTTTATATTTTTCTTCGAAGCAACGAAAATGCTCAAAATCTAAAGACAGATGTTTAAAACCTAAGCCTGATGAAGTTTTAGCTCCGTGAGTGCTGTATATTGCAAGAAAACAGAATGATCATAAACAAAATATTCTGGATTTCGATTTTAATTCCAAAGTTCCCGAGTCATACATTTTTTACCGAGTCATATTTATCATGATTCTCACTGAGCCGGTTGTCACCCATTCATGGATTCTGCCCAATTGCAAACCAACTAGAAATTAGAATGCATGGGAGCGGATTCACAGAAATTTCCAAATATGTGTCACTTGACACATCTGTGGAAAGAACCTCTTTTTTGCTAAATCACTATTGCTAAAACAATAGAAATGTTTAATTTTGGTAAGGGCCACCTTGCTAAATCACTATTGCTAAAACAATAGATATGTTTCATTTTGGTAAGGGACACCAACAAGAATTCGTACTAACTGACTTAACTCTCCTATAGTTAGACCATTCAAAACACCTCAAAATCTGGGTGCTGGCAAATTGGAGGAAAAAAATGCAGGACCTTTTAAAATCCTCCAGAATTTATTGTTACTGCACTACCACACCTTTCAATTCCTTTCGAAAGGTATTGAAATGCAACTTACTGAATTTGCCCACAGAGTTGCTTCACCTTTCAAAACCCTTTGGTCAGACAAATTTTAAAATGTTTTGAAAGGTCTGATAATTCTCTTTGCCAACTGCACTGGACATATAATAAAAACTGCCAGTATGCGCAAGTCTGACTTGCATTATTTAATTTTTTTTTTACTTTCAAAATAAAGATATACCGCGAGATGTATGATTTTGAGCAACACAGAACCACAAAATATTTGTCATAGATACAGGTACATGTACATGATGTTTATTGATTTCAAAACAGACCCCAAAATATCAGTATTAATTTCATTCTCCCGCGGGTTTTAATTACCGGGGAGTGAATTTGACTTTGAAACTTGATAGACTGGGATCATTTCAGGATCCTGGCAATTTTTTTTTTTTTTTAATAAAGCATGGAAGGTGAGCCATGACTGCCATATGGTAAAAAACCGCTACGATTGTAATATTTCATATTCTCTCCACGCTCCGAAGAATACAAGCCCCCGCACTGCTGAGGGACCAAATAACTGTACGAGTACTGATCCGGTTGTAATTAAAAATGATGCTGAAGAGCCGACCATATGTGTATGTTTGTTGTGAGTCATCTAGAAATTTTTTTAGGAATTTTTTTTTTTCCTGGGATGAAAAATTGCAGGTACTTGTTTGTTGTCGTTGGGATTTGAAACGTAAAGTGTGCTGCATACATACATAAATTAATGTCCAGTTACATGTAAATTTTCTCACAATACGTGTACACTGGATACCCACACATACTGAAATTTGTATCCTTGTGGAGACATTTCTTTGTTCTCGTGTAGTAAAGTTTTCGAGTTTGAAAGTGTAGTTTCAAAATGCTCTTATTTTAACCAGAATTAATTTCCTTGGCTGAAATTCGGACTTAACATCCCTTTTCTAAAACTCTTCCATTTGCGACTGATCAACCCAACTTGGAAATTCCTAGTTTTTGAGTAAAATCCATATATCTATTTTGTGAAAACCTTGTGGAGACGTATTCATCTATAGAAATTGCCCTGAGGAGACGTATACAATCTTTTGTTCCCTATTGTGAGCATGTCTCCAGAGGGCACGGTGTATCAGATCAATGGAACTGCATGTTAAACAAGGGTGGATCCAGAACTAAAATTTTCGTGGGGGGGGGGGGGGGGGTTAGAGACGAAAGGTATGAGAATATTTTTTTTTTCAAAAGGGAAGGGGATTAGGTACGCGCTATTTCCTCATTGTAATAATATAAAAACTAAAAGGTATGTGTAGTTAATGGCTTGCGAGGGAGATACGCAAGGTTTTAATTTATTTCCTGAAATTTAAGACAAAATGGTGTCTTCACTCCTCAGATTAAACAACTTGTTAAGAAATTGTTGGGGGGGGGGCATGGCCCCTGTTCCCCCACCCCCTGGATCCGCCAATGCTATTAAATTGGTTCTGAGCACAGTATGGCATCCATTGTTTTTGCTGATACCGCGCTGCCACACAATTTGACGTAACAATTAAGACGACGCTGTCATTGTCATGTCCTGAAAAATTAGGTTCATCAATAAACGGTTGCTTTGGAATAACATTCATGCGAATAACAAGGGAAGTGCCAATTTCCTACAGGAGTTTATAAATCAAACACCAAAAAGGACAAGCGGTTCTTCAGTTTGGAGTTGACAAGAAGTCATTGGATCTTGTTGCCGTGCCGTGCTGAGTGCCGTGGCCTCGTGATCTGGAGCATTGAATTGGTGGTCTGCGGGTAATTCTGCAGGTTGTGGGTTCGAGTCCAGCTTGGGGTTGTGGTGGGTGTGCCCTTGGGCAAGACACACCTTGTCACTTGCTTCTCTCCACCCAGGAGTAAAATGGGTACCGGTGAGAGCAGAGACGGTTATTGTGGTTGATGTTAGCTGCTTTGCGCTGAAATGGCTGCATCGAGCTGTATATATACCCCAGGGAGCTGGGATGGTACATGTATTGGGATTGTTTCATTGGCCCAATGAGCGGGGTAGTGATGATGTACAGTGTAGTGCCTTGAGCACTAATACTGATGGATACGTGCGCTTGATAAATACGCATTAATATTATAGCATGTTGCAAATCCTAATTTGTCCGTCTCCTTCATCAGTTGGTTTTACGGTTAGTACCAGTGTTCAAGGGCGGATGCAGAACACAATTTTTGGAGGGGCCAAAACAATTGTGGGCCCCCAGAAAGTGGATCCAAAAAAATTACAGCGTGGGGTTTCGGGGCCTGCTCAAGGGCCCTGAAATTTGTTTGGGATTGTAGATGCTCTCTGGTGCGATCTGAGCACTTTCTGACCACTCTAACCATTTTTTTTTAAGGAAAAGATGGTGGTGTACGCAGTGCCTGCCTTTATTGCAACGACACTTTAAAAAAAAAATGGGTTCATTGGGGGGGGGGGGCATGGCCCCCTGGATCTGCCCTTGCCAGTGTTCCCACAAGGCAGAAAGCTGTTGAGAATTGACATATTTTGTGACATGTTTGAAAAGTAATCAAGTCTGTTTTTATTCAAAATACGGTCTTTGCGGAGGTGTGTAATGAGGTACAAAGTCTTAATTTTCATCCGTTGTGCATGACTTAATCTGTGTGGGCGGTTTGCTCTCTTGTGTAAAAAAAATTAAAATCTCAAACAAATTCTTGAAATGAAACGGGTCTTTACAAGATCAACTTTCAGAAAGTGGGTGGGTTCCCTTCCTCCCACCCTCCCCCCTTTTTTGTCCTAAATGATGTCTGGTTTAGTTTAGAGATTGTTGTTAAATGACCAGTGCGTTGGAAAGAGTGGGCAGGTTGAGTGAGACTGACACAACATTTGGCGTAATTTGTGAGAAAAGTGTTTACGCTCAATTAACGAGATATGATACCCCACTAGTAGTACAGTAGTGGGTGGCTTTTTGAGATATTTGAGTTGGAAGGTGTACATCCGCTGTTGTAGGAAAAGGGGAAATTGATTAATGAAGGAATGTAATGAATTCCTTCTGCGGTTGAAACGGAAGGTTCAAGTTTGGCTCATAATTAAACTGCTGGTTGTGTTTCTTTCTTTTTTTCGCAGATTGTGCGATGAGTCGCTGCGTACGGCAGCTTCTGAGCTCCACCTGGTGTCGGTGGCAGTCCATGACATCACTGCCGCTGCCGGCCAATCAGGGGCTGTTTTCAGTCGCCCGTCAGCGGTGCCCGACAATCCTCGGCGTTGAGCGGGCCGGTTGGAGCCGGCCGTCAGTGCGACTGTTCCACCGCGCGGGACGGCAGTGCTGCGCTGCTACATCGTCCCCAGGTACCGCTGTCCCTAATGATGATGATGATTTGGGAAAGCCGGCTATCGCCAAGACCTTGATATCGGAGGGTCCTGAGGGAGATTCAGAGTCAACAGATCACGATGGAAACAGCCTGGCCGGGTTGGATCTGGGGTAAGTTATGTTGATTTTGTTTGTGTCCACATTCCGTTCACATTCTACATTGCACCCTGCAGTAACAACAACCATCTAAAAACCAGATTGTTATTCTTGGTATGTTTCAACTCCAATTGAAACTGCTCGTTTCCATGATTAAAAAACCTGCAAATTTCTAGAGATTAAAAAAACAATTTGATAAACACGTATGATACCTTTGACGTCAAGCCCGCAATTGTTATCCTCTTGTCAGAAATAGATCTTAGGGCTGGATAGCTCAGTTGCTAGAGCGCTGGAATAAGTGTTCCTGATATCTTCTTAATTTCTTGTAAAATCTTGTCCAAAAAAACCCTCAAAAAAAGTGACGGGTTTGAAGAACAGGGAAGGATTGTAATTTCACTTGACGTACATATATTGCTCGTGAATATTTTCATTTTGCAATATGTACAATATCAATATAAATTCATATGAATATAAATTCATTCATATAATGAATATCAATTCATTGACCACAATGTTCCACTAGCAGATCTATTAAAGTTGTTGTAACGCTGATCTAGCTCTTAACAGAAATAGAAGTACATGTAGTTTACCTTAACAATAAAATGTGACATTGAACCAACAGCTTAAAGGTAGATTGGACCATTTGTCATTTATGCATTTTTTTTTTTCGTTTGAAGCAACAAAAGTAAACTCAAAAGCTAAAGACGGGTGCTTAACAACTAACCCAATGAACTTTTAGCTCTGTGAATCCTGTATATTTTGAGAAAACACGATATTCTGGATGGCTTTTCCAATTTGAAAGTTGCCGAGTCATTTTGAATTGCGCCCTCTCGTGACACAATCCCGAAATCAGCATTCGGGACATGATTCTCATTCAGCCATTGTAGCTTCTGGTACATGATGTCACACACTGAACCGACGAATAATAGCAGCCGCGCGTGCGTGTGCCTCCTGTCAACGCTTGCACCAATTCATGGATTTGTCCAATTGCAAACCAACTACAGTCAGAAATTTTTTTAAATGTGTCACTTGACACATCTTTGGAAATGGCCTTCTTTTATTGTTTTCTTCAAAATGACAGCATGCCAGAACGAATAATTTCAATGGGCGTTTAGTGTCATTACTATCTTTAACCCTAATTATGCCCAACCAGCCAAACTCAAATGCCAGGGTTTGTTGGAATCTGTTAGGATGAGTACTGCACTAGTAAACTGACTGTGCTTTTAATATGTCACAGGCATACCGCAAATAAACAGAGTCCAACCGTTTACGATGCACAGTTTACCATATGGTGTTGGGATTTGTAGGGATGAGGAAGGTTCCTACTGGTACATTACTAAATCACCCTCTAGAGGGAGTTAGGGTTAAACCAAGTAAGTACCGGTATTTTAACAATAATTTGGTCGGTTACTTTTTGGATAGCTGCAAATGGTCCACTCTACCTTTTAACAGTTTCCGACTATTGAAATTTTGTTCCCCAATTAATTTTGGTGAATCGATTTTGATTTTAAAAAAAGGGGGGAGGGGTAGTCGCAATCATATCTCTTACAATTTTCTGATCACCATTCTTTATTGAATATTTTAATCCCTACCACTTTCCTATCAGCAGTCCGTGCAAGCTTTCATTTCAATCTACACAGGCAGCTAACATGCTTCCTAGAATTTAGGCCCTAAAAAATGTGATTTTACGGTAGCCCACCCCCTAGGTGCTTTTTGCTAGCAACCACCCTCAATCCTCTAAAATCCTGGCACTTTGTATGTTCAAATAATGGATACCCACTGCCTCAATCCTCCAAATTCCTCGCACTTTGTCTGTTCAAATGAGGGATACCCACTGCCTCAATCCTCCAAAATCCTCATCTTCAGACACCATTCATCCTCAATCATCAAATATCAAGCGATACTGAATGTCATACGTGCCCTCAATCCTCCACAATCCTCCAAAATTTTATGTTGCATCATCCTCAATCCTCCAACATCCTCCCAAACAGCCCCAGAACTGCCTGAGGACTTTGGAGGTTTACGTAGCGATGGTTAAATATTATCCAGCAAAAAAACATGTAGGTAGGAAAATATGTGTAAGTATTTTTTGTAACTTTTTGAATGTCTGTCTCTCGGTCATTTACACTTCCTTTGTTTGCTTTAGGATACCTTTAACAAATTATGTGTAATTAACCTGTTTTGTTTTAATTGTTTAATGAACAAATATTAAACACAGGAAAAAAAATACTTGCATGTACCGATAGGGAAGGCTTATATTTTCAAAATATATTTGATTTTAAATTATTCGCCAAATGTGGCAATAACAAAATTGAGGTCAGCTCTTTGTTCGCAAAAAAAATCCAGGTACCGGTACATGTACATGTAGGTCGGGTTACCGTAAACACACTATTATTTTTCCTAGACCTTACGCAACTTTTTTTTTAATTCGTGACCCACATTTATTTCATAAATCCCACCCCCTTCAAAACAACCCGGCAAAGATGTGGGCGTGTTTAGGTTTTAGTCATCAGAGTGTGCGTAGGGGGTGGGCGGGTGGGAGGCAACCCTCCCCCTTCCCTCCGTCTAAATCAGCTGTGAAAAGAAAGGGAAGATGGCACTCCCGTGACAGGCGAGGGAGCCCTTCCTATTTACCCCGCTGCAGCTCATTAGGCCGCTTCCGTTGGATGAGCGTCTCATCTCCTGTTATGCTGGAAATCACCTGCCCCCTGGCCCGAGCTGCTCCTGAGATGGGGGTACTCCCAACCTAGTTTAGTGTCCAAGGTCAACCACAAGACCCCCATAAATCCGGGGGCAAAATTAGGAAGATTGTCCGTGGCCTACTGAAGCAATTGTTTGCCCATCTTGTTATCAAATTAGTTTAATTAAATTTGAAACCTGCAGGCAATTTAGCTGCCTCTCACAAAATTCAAGAGATAATTGATGTGATTTTCTGGAATACTCTTTAAAGGTACAGTCTTCATTTGAAACAATAAAATTGTTGCATAACAAACACATGTTGAAGTTTAACATGTACTGCACATGAACATGTGGTACATTTTTTTTATGTAGCGTACATTCAATGGATAAGTACTATACATTTTTTTTTTAAAAACCAGAAATAATATGCACACTGTTTTGGGTTGTACTGATTCCGTTGTTGAAGCACGGAAAACAGTGTGCCCACAGGCACACTTTTTTAAAACCACTTTGAGTGATTGTTTTCTTGTGAACGACACCATTTTAGGTGGAATAATTTCATAGGGTATTTAATATTTACCAGCCCTGTTTTCAGTTTAAGCAAGGTTTTTCTCGTTCAATCGGGAGGTACGTTTCATGTAAATGTTCCTGGAATATTTGTACTTTTTGGATCAGAAATGAAGTTTTCAAACCATACTAAATAGATTTTCCCCAAGCTTGTTTCGAATCTTTTGATAAATAGTGTGCTGATGTCCCTAGGCAGGATGTTTTGCTCTATTTTCAGGGCTTCTCCCGCCAAAAGCCACTATGAATTCTCATTGTTGTTGTGCAGCGTAACAAACATGCACACTTGCCCTGCGCTAGATTATAAACACTACCAGCATCTTTCATAGAATAGAATGCAAACAGCTGAATGAATTAGCCGAATCAATCAACCGTTAAATGTTATGCTCCAAAAATTGCATACATGTAGGCCCCTATAATATATGTACATGTACAAATGTACGTGTATACTGTTGGGGGGGGGGCCTTACGTGACGATGTTCCAACAGGCAGCTTTGCTTTTTGCAGATTGTGTTCACAGATGCAGCTTTTTCGAGTACCCGGCACTAAGCAACTGCATACAACGCCATTCACAATTACTTCCTCCTGGTATTGACAAAACTGGCACGTCACATGACATCAATTGGGTCAAGTGTATTTACAGGTTGAAATAGCTCCGTCGGTTTGAAAACATGGTCAGTTGTAGTTGTTCGGCATATTGCAGAAAGTCCCACTTGTACATCTTCACAGAGATGTGTGTAATTCACTGCAAGGTCTTGCTCTTCGGAAACCAATAACTCGGGAATCATACTAAAGCACGAATGGAACAGTTAACTTCACTGAAATTGCATAAAGGGTTCAACCACACGGAAGATTACAGAGAGCAAGCATGGTAGGTTACATGAAACTTGGTACATGTAGAGTGTAGATGTAATGTTGCACTTTCCTGACTAACTGAACTTACATGTACATGTAGTGATGGTGATTGTGGATTGTTCTTGCTCATGACATATTGTAATTAAAGGGAATGTACGTCATTGGCTTTTGCTTTAATTTTTAGAAATGAACTATTTGAGGGGTTAGTATAATAGATGAAATATTGTTACACTGACATGTTTGAAGTTTTGTGTTCGAAAATACTGGAAAAAAACAATAAAAACAAAACGTTCAAGTAGTCTGGTTCCCTGACTCCACTAAAGATGAAATGGATGAATTTATAGATGCTGGAAAATTGTAAGGTAAGGGAACCAGTCTAGATGGCCTGCACCCGTTCAATAACAAACAAAATGTGGACTGAAAAAAAATAGTAAATTTGGGGAAGTAGTTGAAAAATAGTTAGGTTTTTCCAACGGTGGTCGGCCAACCTCCGTTGGAAATTTATACAAAAATACCACTTTTCTTAGAAATGACAGCACATGAGGTGCCATGATTTTACAGGATGATTTAGACCAGTCATTCACTAACAGTAAGGTATTTCATAATAATTTGCTAGTTTTGTTTCTTGATGTTTGCAAATGTTGTATATATACCCTTTAAGCATTTACTCATCTTCACCATTCTAGAGATGAAGTCAGACGGTTTATAGTACATCATTTGTTGTTGCTTTGAAAGCATATACATGTATATCGGTTTTTCCATCTGCTAATTATTGATGTTCATGAACATGAGTGCACATTATAATTGCCAACTTTTTGGTCAAATTGGGTTCATATGTAAAGTACATTACAATGTACATGTATGTACGGTGTAGGTTCAAATAAAGTACGGTACATGTTAGTACAGCAGATAGGTGA